TTGAGAATGATGGCCATCTTAGACAAGTTTTGAAGGTGTTAGAAATTTGTTACTTATGCCAAAAATGGCGATAAAAATGTTTTACAAAAAAGTCATGTCCATATTCAAAGAAATTGCAGAGATTCTATGGCCTAAAGTCAAAACATTTCCTCATCTGTTCAGTCATTGTTAACGGATCCTTTTGACACACAGATCAAATAGTATGGATTTTATTCAGAGCCAAAACTGATGGAGGAAAATGTACTTTTAGATTGCTAGACAAAATAGCCCAAGATTTCATAATCAAAGAGGAAAAAAGTCCAAACCAAAATCAAAGTAAGGGTTTACATTATAACCGTTAGGTAAGGAACTTAGATGTTATCTCTAATGAGAGAGAAGTTTATAAATGAAACTAACACACTTTGTTAGGCAGATGTCTGATGTGCAGTGATGGAAAATAAAAAGTCCAATTAGTTACTAAGAATTTCTTGCTGATACCTTTGTACAAGAATGTCATCCTTGTGACTCTTTGGGCTCTTAAATGTTCATAATCAGTTAATCTTTCTTTTTCAATGTTCTTATTTGAGGAATACCATTGCAGAATGGTTGATATGATATCATTTTGTTTGTAGTTTCTATTGATTGTAAATACTTTATACCCAAATTGACACTATTCAGATCTTTCAGGAAGAAGACGGCATTGACCTTACCTATCACTGGGCTACCTGTTATTTTTCAGAGCAGAAAAATGTTGATAACTGAGAAGGTGTTTTTGATGCACATGAATCAAACATATATTTTTTGCTTGGAAAGAGAATAGCCTCACCTTAATGCCTAAGGTCATGGAGTGCCAGTTTCAAAGAGTGCAATTTTTTTTTTACAGTGAATCTAATTCTGTCTTAATGCACTTTATATACAAAAAAGTTCTCTTGGCCACCAAGTAGTTTGTAGTTGGTTAGAGATTGTCATTGATATTTTGGCTCTTCCAGCGTCACAGTGCATGAGAAAGACTGGATGCCAAAGGCTGAGCTGGTCCGTGCTCAGCAGGAGCTGGTCATAGTTGCGGAGTGTCTGGGTTCTTTTCCCGTCATGAGTGAGGAGGCCACACGCCATGTTCTGCTGGAACGTTTGGAGAAGGCTGAGGTAGTGCACATTGGTGAGTTTGACGTCGTTGATGTGGCTTTGTCATTTGCCATTTGTCTTATGTCACACCAGTGAAATAGTGGCACATCTCTTACACTCTCTTGATTCCTAAGTAGTGACCATTTTTTTCTTTTGGAGCTCATCAAGGAAGATAAAAGATAAAATCTGAAGCGAGAGAGGTGCTTAATACTTGGGCAGTCTACTTCCTCTATGTGTGCAGCTGGGCTAAGGTGTATCACGTTTACTGTTTTAAAATAATTGTCTGTAAAGATACAATAAGCCATTTACATGAGGCTAAAACAGCACCTGGACATGGATGGCTGGTGCCTCTATAAATAGATCATTGACGGTCAAGGTCAAGTCATTTACATGAGGCTAAAACAGCACCTGGACATGGATGGCTGGTGCCTCTATAAATAAATCATTGATGGTCAAGGTCAAGTCATTTACATGTAGGATGCAAGGCTGAAGTGCAAGTGTCTGGGGTTCAGCTCACCACTACAGTTTCAATGTTTCTTGAGTTTGTTGTCAGTCTACACTGTGGTCTTTCTATGTTCCACTCAACTTGGATTTTCCGAGACTGGAAGAGTCAAAGCAGTCTGCCCCCTAACTGGTCTACAATTCTTTGATGGGAGTATACCACTTTAAGAATCAGTACAACTTATATGGTATTACCAAGATTCTAGAACTTAGACAAACTATATATTTAAAATTTACACTTCAGCCACATGGGCGTGCCTGAGAGAAGGTATCCTGCTGGTGACCCCTGACCCTGTAGACGACCAATCAGAAGATAGCTCTCACCTGGTCACCGTGGCGGACCTGCTCAACACAAGCATGTGTGCCAAGCTGGTGGTGTTGTCCTCCTGCGGTCTCTCCGCAGCGCGCCATGAGCAGGAATGTGTCTACAAGCTGGCCAGTGCTTTTCTCTCTGCAGGTGGGAACCGGTTACATATTACAAACCTTTTAAGCCTTAGTATCTAGCAGGCCAAGCACAGAGAGCAAGATCTGGAGCCCCTTTCCATTGCTTGGGCAGAGCTATACAAAATTTAGATAACTCCTCTTTCAAATGGTCACTGACTCATTCCATAACGATGTTTGAGAACTGAAGCAGTGCTTCATAAAATCGGTTCGTTTTTTAAAATATCACCCTGTATAATAAGAATTGTTGTGAGAATTTTTGTTCGTTGCAAAATGCATTGTATCCTGTGATATTAATCATGATGAAGTAACATTTCATTCATACCTTTTTAAAAGAGAATAAGTCTCATTTTTCTTAGTTTTGTTGCAGTCTAACCTGTAACACCTGCTTCTTCCTC